CACTCATAAATATAAAATTATTAAATATTTTTAATAAATATTTTTATATTAATTTATTAATAATATTTTAATAATTTTAACGTGCAAATTATGCTTTCATACGAAAAACCTGATCCTCATTTTAGAAAGAAAGATTTTCTTTTACAAATTTTCTTCGGGAGTATCTTTCTAAGAAAGTTATTTACAACGTAAACCCCTGCTCTCCGCCAATTTGCAACCTAAACCCTTGAGGAAGGGACCAAACTTGCCAAATAAGCGAGCTACAGGAACGGAAGAAGGGCAACGATGGGAAGACAAATGATTTTGAGATAATTTTTTTATTTTAATTTTTGTATAATTTAATATATTATTTATATAATTAATTTTTTATTTATATAAATTTTATAATATTAAATATATATACTTATTTAATAACATATAAAAAATTATATTAAAAAATTATCTTATAACAATGGAAATTAGGCATCATGGAATAATGGGATAATCGGCGCTGCTGGGTTTGCGTGTACAACACTCACAGGTAAGAATCCTGCGTTGAAAGTGATTACCGAACGTTGATTTCATCCATTAGTGGGACCAACACGGTGCCATGTCAGTATATGATCGTGATGACGACATGGGGGAGGAATTTCGGCTTTTATGGGAGCCTGACGTCGTGAAAATCAGCAACATTTTTTGAACATTGAGGGGCATTTTTTTTTTTTTTTTATGAATCAAAAGTTTTATCATACTAAGAAATACAAGAGATACTTCACTCATAAATATAGAATTACATTACATGAAAGCTCATGCAAGAACCGTCCAAAAGCACAGAAACATACACAAAAGGGAGTTGAAATTATGAATACCAACACTATTTTCTAGTAGTTTTTTGAGCACATAAAGAAGGAGAAATGCATCACGAGGGAAAATGAAATATTGTGTGAATATACTTCCCCCTAATCCAAGCAAAGGATCTCCTTTGGATTAAATCAAAAGTCATGCCCTCATTTCAATGTTGTGAATTATGGATAATAGAGTTCTTCATAAACCATATAGACCATGTAATCACCAAAAATATAAGGAACCAAAGATCAAATTTTACCAGTTGTTTAATCCCTTGGATGTGAGCTTCACAAAGTAGATCAATTGAGTTGGGGAGAGATAGGGAAATCCCCCACCAATTGTAGCATCTCATCCATAAGTTTTGTATTCTTGAGCATTGAACGAACACGTGATTTTCATCCTCCAGATCTTTCTTGCAAATGCAGCAAACTCTCCGCTTCTTCAAGTTGGACGCCCCTCTTTATAAGACCAGATTCTGTTGGGAGTCCATTAAGTAGAAGGTGCCAACCAAAGCAACTGATTTTAGTCGTCACCACTCTGTTCTAGAGTCTTTTACAAATTCTTGGTGTCAGAATGCTGTTCTACCCAGCTAGCATTGAGTATGCCTTGCCAACTGTGTTGTTCCTCGTAAAATAAGTAGAAGAAAATAGACAAAGGATTAGCAAAAACAATTAATTAAAAATGAAAATGAAAAATAAAAAGATGTCACCGAAAGTATGAGGAACTTGAGCTGAGACATAAATCAATCATTTTCTTTAGTACGTTTCGTGCCATCAGTACAGTAATTTTTTATGGTCACATTGCTTCTAGAATACAACAACCCAACCTTTCATCATTGTATCTTTACAAGTACTGCACTTTTGTAAAAAAAACTCTACCCCACCAAGGGCGGAGCCAGAATTTTTTTTTAGGGGGGACAAGATAATTTTTTATATACTAATTTACAAAATTTTTAAATTTCAAGGGGAGTAAAATAATTTTTCATATACTAATTTATAAAAATTTTCAAATTTCAGGAGGGCTAGCACCCCCTCGCACCCCCTCCCTCCGCCACTGTACCCACCACCTTTTTCTTGCCCAAAGAGAGTTTGTATATTGTGTTTTTGAAATAAAGTGCAGCTTATAAAAAAATAGTACCAATCTTTTTGTAGAAATGGAGGCTGCCTACTTATAGGACTTCACACAATATGATCGGAATAAATTAAAATGAGAAACCGTTGGAATTTAAAATGGTATTCGTCGGTTACAAAAAAAAAAAATTGAAATTAGTGAGTCTTTGGCATCCAGGAATTGAGCGAACCCATATCTGTTGCCTCTTCTGTCTCTTCTTCTCAGTATAATAATGTCCCAGAGTCTTCCTGCTTTCACTGTCTTTCTGATATAAAAGAACAACTGCTTTGCTTCCCAATCATCAAGGAAATTGACAAAGTGGAAGGTCACACACTGTTTCAGTAATATCCTTGATCAAAAGCTGGCAGTTTGTTGACGAAATCCTTGAAATCGGTTGTCGAGTTGCCATTGCCGTACCGTCTCCTGCCTCCACGCTGAGAAGCCATCTGTTTTTTCAACATTGAGGGGCATTTGATTGAAGCTTCTTTCAGAAAAAGTATTTGAAAAAGTGGATCAAAAATTAAGTTAGTTGGAGTCAGGAAATTAAAGTTTTTAATACAAAATTAAAATAAAGTATAATTGAGTATGATGAAAATGTAAGTGATTATATTGGAATTTTTTTAAAAAATACATTTTTTAATTTTTTTAACAAGAAAATGAGGTAGTTAATTATATTTTGAAAATAATTGATTATATTTTAATAATTAATTATATACCTAATATAATCACTTACATTTTCATCATAATTAATTATATTTTTATCTCAATTTTTGTATCAAAAACTTTAATTTTTTGGATCAAAATAACTTAAATTTTAATCAATTTTCCGACGTTTTTTTTTTTTAACGGTAGTTTCAACCAAATAAACCTTGATTCATGGCTTACATGGTCACCATACGAGTGCTTCATTCATATTATTCGAATTCAACTCTCTTGTAGTTTCATTCTTCCTTCCCTTCCCAAAAAAAAAAAAAAAAAAATTTTCAACCAAACATGTGCTAATAATGCTATAGTAGAATCATTGTATGGGATATTTACTTCTCTTGCCATTTAGGTGAAATTCGTAGGGGTGATTATGTCATTTCAAAGAGTAAGGCCTAAATAAGAAGTACACGATGACACAAGACACACGTGCTATCAAATCAAGGTGGCGGGTGGAGACAGCCCTGGAATCCGACGGCTGATTTTTTTGTTTTTTTTTTTTGCCTTTTATGGGTATCGATGGGGTACGTATTTGCGAGACTACCCCTCGCAGAGGACTGGATCGTGTGTGAATAAGAACTGTGAAAAGGCACGGAGGGTCGGTTTTGCTTACCTTTTACCTGAAAGATATTTTTTTTTTTTTGAACAATTTTGGCATTATTTACATATACATACAAGGAAGGGGGAAATGAATTTCATGGGTTTGAATATGCATCTACAAAAGTAAACAATCATAACTTAAAATCTAATGACACTGGATCAAAACGAATCATTTTACCTGTAAGATATTTTTGTAGAAGTTATGACAAAAATGGTACGAGCTTAAGTCAGAAAAATAAATTTTTTAGCATAAAAATTAACGGTTTAATATAATTAATTATACTTTTTGTAATTGGTTATAAATTTGTAATACTTTAAAGGTAAAATAATCAACTAAATAAAAAGGTAATCAATTATGCATTTCAAATGAAATTTTTTAAGATTTTTGAATTGAAAATTTTCTCCCTTACCATAATACATTATATTTATTTAAATGGATTACTTTCGAAAGTATTCCATTTTTTTTTATATAATCAACTATACTTCACCCCAATTTTTGTGTCAGAAAAGTTTCTGTTCTTGTTTCAAGTCGACTAGAGAAAAAGAAAAACAATGATGGTTTCCTCGGAATGGTGTTATTGCCACATCTTTAATTATTAGTATTATATTTTTTTATTTTAATT